ATTAATGTGGCTGCTGATTGGGGGATTCAAAATACCTGTCTCTGTTTGTGATTGGTTGGGCTATTCTTGTAGAGCTATATAAACAGAGCTGAGATTTTGTGACCAAGCTCAGAGTGAAGTAAGCATACCCACTGCATGTGCAAGCTGAATAAAAGTGAAGAGATTGGAAAGTGATTCTTTGGCACATATAGTCACATCTTGATTTCCAATCTGATAATTAGATAATGTTTTATCCATCCAGAAAAAAAATAGAGGTGAAAGACTTTCTTGCTTTTACTTCAAGTCTACAACAAATAAATGCAGGGATATATTTGGTTTTCAAATATTAGTTTTCAATTTGTAATAAAATAAAATAAAAAACTACTCGCAAATTAAGATTACTAGTTTTTAGAGGGAGGTAAACCTGCTTAAAAAGAAACATAAAGACACCCAAATTAAGGGAAATTTTTTTATTTCTTAATGGCTTCATACACACATAATCACCTGAATACATTTCTTGACAAAGTTTAAGTTGCAGATGAAATAAAGTTCATAATATAAAGTCTAAAAGCCAGCCTTGCCCAATTTTATGAGCACCCAAAATTATGCTTGTGGACACAATACGGTCATTGTGGCCCAGTCCTATAGAAGCTCTAAAAAGAAAAATCAGTTTTTAAATTAAGATTTATTATATTAAGAGGAAAAACGTATCCAAACCTGTCTGGCCAAGTGTGAAAAACTAATTTACCCTTTGTTAAAACATGATTTAACTTTGAGTCATCATATGTTTTTTTGAGAAGCTGATTTCAGTTTCACTATCCACAGGCTAAAAGATCTCAAAAAACAATGCAGCATGCGACGATCTAATGAAACAGCTGGACAACATGTCATTAACATCTATTAGTCTGGAAAGGGTTACTATCTGAGGTTTTGGGACACCAGTAAATCGCAGTAAGAGCCATTATCCATAAATGGCAAAAAGCTGGAATTGGTGAACTTTCCCAAGAGTGGCTGGCTTACCAACATTACTCCAAGAGCACATCTCATCTAATAGGTCACTAAAGAATTCTAAACAGCATCTAAAGAGCAGTAGGTCTTACTTGCCTTAGTTAAGGTCAGTGTATCCATGAGAAAGTTAAAAGGTGAAACCACTGCTGACCAAAAGAAACAAAAGGATTAATTTAACATTTGCTAAAAGATACCTTGATGAGTCTCAAGATTTTTGGGAAGTTTTTCTATGGACAAATGAGACACTTGGAGTTGCATTATATCTGACGTAAAACTAACAGCATTTCACAAAAAGAATATCGTACCAACAGTCAAATATGGTGGTGATAGTATAATGCTTTGCTGCTTTATGACCTGGATGACTTGCTGTAACTGATGGAACCATGAATTCTGCTCTCTACCTGAAAATCCTAAAGGAGAATGTCCAATCATCAGTTCATGCCTTGAAGCTCAACCATACTTGGCTTATGCAGCAGGACAATGATAAGAAAATACACCAGCAAGTCCACCTCTGAATGGCTCAGAAATAAATAAATAAATAAATAATGGAGTGGCCTAGTCAAAGACCAGAGTCATATCCAATCAGGCTGTTCACACCTGTAAGTTTGATAGATTTTTCCCTTAATGAATCATCATTAAAATACGGATGAACTTTTGCGAGATCTCGCAAAAGTCCGTCTTAATTTTTTTTTCTCCCATGTCCCCTGCGGGGCTCCGTATAATATTACTCATTCTGGGTCACAAAATAAACTTTTAAGATATTTTGAGGCGTGAATGTAGTTGTGTAAACGTCAAATATCTGCTCGGTTTACAAGACATCACATATTTGCAAAAGTGCTCCGACGTTTTCGGAGATCTGACACCCACTATCTCGAAGCTAACGGGAGGTTGAGACCTACTACAGCCGGGAGGAACACCGCTCTCCCGGCACATCGTGCATCGACCTCCCGGTTGGCTTTGAGCTGGCGGCCTCCAAAGAATGCGGCTAAAAGTTTTGCGAGATCCCGAGTTTGTTTTGCGAGATCTTGTTTTGCGAGATCTCGCAAAAGTCCGTCTTAATTTTTTTTTCTCCCATGTCCCTTGCGGGGCTCCGTATTAAAAAAATGCATGTTGTATTTACTGAGGTTATCTTTGTTACAGTACCCAGTGTTTGCTTTTGGATTCTAGTTTATTTGAGATTTAGTGTATATTCTTGGTTCTGGCTCTTTTAGTTGTTTTTCTGCTTTGTCTAATATTTTTAGTTTCTGGTCTTGGTTTTGTCATCTGGTCCTTTGGTTCTGTTTCCTCTGTGTTTCACGGTCCTTGTTTTGTCAGCCTTGTCATCATGTTTGTTTGAGTCTTGTCTCCACCTTTGTTGTTCCCTTTCTATCTCCCCAGTCAGCATTGTCAAGCCCGTCATAGTCTTTGTCTCCGTGGTTATTTGTACTTCCTGTTTTATTTTGAGAGTTGCCTGTGTTCAGCATGTTCAGTTTTGCTTTCCCTGTCCTGTTAGTCTGTATTAGTTCCAGGTCCTGTTTCCTATCCTCTCATTAACCTGTGTATATTTAAGCCCCCTGTTTTTCTATGCTCATTGTAGCATCATCCCCACGTTTGCTTCATCTCCCTTGTTAATTTTATTTATTTATTTTTTTAAAGAAATCCATAAGGGGGTAAATACTTTTCACAGCACTGTGCATTTGCACTCTGAAGCTTGATGTTGCCATCGCTGAAAGCATCTAAAGTAGGCACCTGAATCTGAAAACACATTAGAATCAGATTATGCCTATAGGCATATGTCATAATATAGTAATAAAATTATAATAAAGAAAAAATTGTATTAATAAAATAATATACCTACCATAAAACTGTTTTTAACAACACATTCGCTTCATCCCTGTTTAACCTTATTTTTTCCTTTTGAAAAGCAGCTCAACAAGTAGCGATATATTTATGCCATGCTCTTTGAAATTATGTCATGGTGGATTGTATTGTCCACTGAAAGGTTGATAATGGTCTTGGCATTCATGTGAATGTTCATTTGTAATGTTCCACCTATCTAAACACTGTTCCACAGCCTTGAATGGCAGTGGTATTCCCTGATGGCACTATGGCCTCTTTCAGCAGGAGCATCCTGCCTTTGAGGTAGGCGTTTTGACCTGGAGGTGTTCATTCTATTTAGTCATAATGACTCATCCTTCTCACACTGCCAACCCAGCAGTTCATCTTCTACACACTGAATAGCAATTCTTGTACAGATATACAAACACAGCAGAGATTTTGCAGATTTATTTACAGAAAGAGAGCAGGGTAGAGAGAGGCTTTTTTAAATTCAGATTTGCTAAAGAGAAAATCTTGTAAATTTTCTAATGATAGCCATTGTTCCCACATTCAGCCTATAAACCAGGGGTGGGCAATGAATTTTACCATGGGGATAAATGAGAAACTGGGACTTTTGTAGAGGCCTAGACCAACAAGTTCACTAAATTCTGCTCAATATTAATTTTAGCTCTTTATAAGTTTATTGGTGTGGTCTCCAACAACAGTCCAAGTTTTTTCATGTGGCCCTTTGGGAAAATTAATTGACCACCCCTGCTCTAAACTACTCCAGGTTACAGAGGAATATAAAACATCATTAAATTATAAACACAAACACACACACTGTCGTGTTTCCATATCCTTGTGGGGACATCTAACTGACATAATGCTTTCCCTAGCTGCCTACCCTAACCACCAAAAATGAAAGCATAACCCTAACATAACTAAATTGTAACCCTGACTCTAAAACCACCTTTTGAGTCTCCCTATGTGCCCTATGTACTCAAACAAATGAATGCTAAATCCTGATGCGTCTTTTAACTGGCAAAAAGATGGCAGAAGATCTCAGATCAATCTGTGTTTTGCTAAAAACAAAAATAGTATGAGAGCAAATTTCCTAGCTTACCAATTTTAATTTTATTTAGCTTATAGAGCACATAAATACTTCTAGGTTACAAAGGATTTTCTGCTAATGTTTTGGTGCCCAGCTTTAGAGGTCTTGTTAAATTCAATGCTCATCTAGCAAGTGTCTGTTTTTGCAAATGCAGTGAGTTTACTATACTCAGTTTACTCAGTTTACTATCCTGAGTATAGTTTACTATCCTTTACTATAACATATGATCCAGGGGTAAAGTGCTCCATGCCACCTGCTCTCTCTCATTTCTTTATCCTTGCCAGCTTTGCAGTGAATAGTCATCGCAGGAGCCCATAAATTCAAGAAACCTGCATATGCCCCCTTTATAACGAGCACCTCTTGCCCAGTCATAGCTCTTCTGACTGTGCACTTGAAGTTTTCAAAAGCACATCTGTTGTTATATATCACACTTTTTTCTGTCCCTTGTTACAGGTTTTGTTGCTTAAAGGATTTGGGCTCTTTTTATAGCTCATTCTTGCATGTTAGTTTTCCTGGTTCAGATTTTTTATTTGACTTGAAACTTCTTCATGGGTGCCCTAAGTGGTTTTCATATGTGCAAAATTCTCCAAATGCCCAAAGCTGATTTGTTAAATCTTAATTACTGAAGGCTACTACAAAATACAAAATCAGACTGAAAACAATAAACTATTTTAATATGGACTTTTGACACAGCCCTTTAACAAACAAAATTTATCTAGTCCTTGCTGAAGTTTTAACTGCAGGGCATGGTTTGGAATGTAAATACATGTAATAGCCACTAAATAAATAAGGACAGGTACAGAAAGCACTTCTCATCTTATATCCCTGACACGAAAAAGGAATTGCTACACTTCCGGATGACATCACACATGACTACATCAGTGTGAGTATGACTGTGCAGTTTCAGATTTCAACATGTCCGCCTGATGTCCGGTTTGTTAAAAAACAAAAAGAAAAGAAAGTCAGCACCTTCCCTAAACTCACCAGCAGCCTTACTACACCATATTGGGGGATGTATACGTGTGTGTCTTCATGCCTCCTCCGCTACACCATTTTAACCAGAGTCTTCATTTTCATGTGTATGTGGGTTGCAAAAGACTTTTTATGCCAATGGTTATTTTTTGCAAAATGCAAGGGAAAAAACATTTTCTTTACTCTGAACAGAAGAAAACCAGTGACCGCATGTCTTTTTCATGACAGGAAAGCACTAGTTTGTGTCTCGTTTTGTTCCAAGTGAGTAAACAATTTTTAGACAGATCATAATTCACTAAATTCCTTTTTTTAAATTTAGATGTTGTAAATGTAGACACGTTTTCATCTTTTCTCATTTGACTTTGACATCACAAAAACACAGAGTGCAAAGCAACAAACTAACAAACATAGATCTGACATTTAACGTTTGCAATGGCCACACCATATGCCCCACACCACTGATGCAAATGTTATCTACTCAACAACTTTCAAAATAGCACATTGTGTCACATTTGTATGTGTGTATCTGTGTGTGGTTTCACATGTCAGGACTGGATTCTAATCACTTTGTTTCAAATTAGTGTGACCATTGAGCGCTACGCAGAGTTCCAACTTTACACATTTTAACCTTGACAGTTAACGAAAGTGGTCACGAAATATGAAATATGAACTCTTTATTAGTCACAGATGCATGAGATGCATTTCTGTTTATGCTGAGTGAGCTCTCTCAACACATTTCAAAAGCTTTCCCTTATGATTCAGCAGCCACCTTTGCTTGTAAACCAGCTATCATTTGGAGCTATAACTTCATTCCAGAGGAAAAATAAAATAAAATAAAATGTTTAAGTAAAACTGTAAACTGTGGGCACCATTACAAACCCTTCTGACCAAATCCAGTTTTCCTTTCAGGCAAAGATGCCATATGGAGTGCCAGTGGTTAGATCTATGCCTCAGCTCTTCCTCTTTGATAAACATATTTCACTGAACTACTAGCGTCAACAATGACAAGGGAAAAAAAGAATGTCTTCAGAGATAAGGCTTGATTAGTTGACAACTACTTTATAAAACGAATGACTTGTTTCTGACACATTACACAGTAATTCACCTTTAAATGGCAGTTCTAATTTGTTACAACTTGCATGTATTTCTCTTTGTGGTGTTCAAAGTAAAAAGTCCCTTTTGCAACATTATTTTGCTTTGATTGTGTTTATTACTGATCATGATGAGAACATGTTGTTATTGACGGGTCATAACATGTTAATCCTAAATGTATCTGAAATATATGTATTGCAAAAATATTAACATGTTGCCTTATAATGTCTACTGTTTCAATACAATATCTACTCATAGTTGAACTGTACTCTACATAGTTTCTAAGCATGATTAAGTATGAAGGTTAGGAAAAGTTTTGTATTTTCTAATCTCATGTTAGCATTATTTTCATGCATAAAAGGACATTGGGATATTGTCCAGAGTTGTTCTCTTTCACATGTACTGGAGTACATGGTGAGAGATGGTCTCTCGTCTGGAAATATTACATTTGGTTTTGATAAGAGTGCTAGCTGGATAGTGTGCAGTAGGCAGGACACATATTGTGCATAATAATGCAAATTCTTCAGACTGCTGTTTTTGCTAAGAGATGCCAATTAGATGCCACATGGGCTAGCCCTGGTTGTATCTGATGATTGTGTCAGATCCTTGTCAAATGCAGATGCATCACAAAAGTGTTGAGAAGACTTCAGGACTACAGTGCATGTGGGAAAATGACTTGAGAAATTACATTGCTATTCAGAATAAACGTCAATAATTGAAACACTACATTTTTGAACCGTAGCAGAGTTTGCATAAGGTTAGGCTGGATGATAGGGTGTACAAAGTGTGTGACTCAGTCCCATCTGTGGCTAGTAATAAGCAAAAACTTGTGTCATGTCGGGAGTCACAATCTTTACCTAAATTTAAAATGAAATGCTGTGCGTGCTTAAAAAGGTTTAATAAAGCTGTAATCACTGCAAATGGAAAGTTTTTGGTGGTGGACTTGCCAAATATTGTAATTTTTATCTTATTAATCAGAAACTGATTGCACTATGCTTCTCTTGAAACACATTTGCTGTTGCAATTTATTTGCATAAGGAAGTTGTAGAAAATGGCACAAGTTTGTCTTGTGACAGTGGAAGTGGATGTTTGATATAAAATACTCCTGATCCTTAGTCTGGCTTTTCTACAGAAAGGAGAACTTCGAGAGGATTACATTGTAGAATAAAGTAGTGTCGTAAGCTAAACTAACTCCACTCCATTTACCCTTAAATATACTTAACTGTGCAACCACAAATGAAGCACCTGAAAGCCCTTGGTTTTTCCATTAAATGTTGTTGCTGAATGAAATCATGAGTCTTTATTTACTGTACTGTTAAGTGTGACAGCACTTGAAATGATTGCTCAGAACAAATTCATCTGCTGTGTTGCCTTCCTTGAGCTGTGGGATCGAGGCGAGACGATGTGTCAGCTAGGCAGGAGTTTCAGAAAACTGAGTCACACAGAAAGAGAAACTAAATCAAAAATATTTCTCACATGAATCTTTCCATCCCTGTCTTAAAGTCTGCAAAAACGCCTTCCTTCCTTCCTGTCTTCTTCCTCCTTCTGTCTTTTGTGTCTTAGCTGATGACATTTAAGCCTGAAAGGTCTTCATCATACTTCAACCCTACTGCAAATATTTTGTTTTAGACAGACAAATTATGTAAAAAAAACAAAAAAAAAACCACCACCACCAACAACAACAAAAAGAGTACTACTTTGGTAATAATAGGTCAAATACTGGCAAACATTTTAGCCAAATTATAGAAAACCAGACCTTGCAGAGTTACAGTTGCAGATTTGTTTTGGAATAACATGCACCACCCCAAAGTCAGTTTGTAGAATGTGATAGAATGTCAATTAGTCCAAATATGTGTCTTTTAAATATAATTTTTCTGTATAAATTTTAACTGTATACATTTTTGTCACAGCGTAAACTTATATCAGAGTATAAATCTAATTCTGAACCGTTCAAAACATAGTTTAAGGTTCCTTTCACATCATGTTGTAGATCTCATTTTATATACCCATGATTGGGAGTAAACCCTTCTTTGGCATTACTCCTTCCTTCAGCTGACTCTGACTGGCTGGTTTTACTCATGTCCTAGTTGCTTAAAAAAAAGAACAAAAAGAAAAGCATCACACTGCAAATATGCTTCTTCGGAAAGATGACCATGAATGCATCAGAACCTTGTCATTTAGTAAATGACTGAAACTTACCCGAATCATCGATACTGTTTGCCAACCACAGTGTCTGCTGGTTTGTTTTATGAACACAATGGCATGCTGGAGGCTGCTAACTGTTGCTAAATAAAATTGGCTGCAAAGAAGATACTGATTTGTCTGCAAACACTTGCCAACTACTTCCAGAACAGAAATAAACCTAAGACAAACTGCACCACAAACACAAAATTAACAATGTTGACCGTCAATGCAGGACCATACCTCTGCGCACCAGATTAAGCCTGGTGACTCCCATCTCCAACTGGTTGGGAAACACACACTTTTCATACTCCACCTGTTGTTGCCAAGGGGTTAGTGACCAGTCTCTGTGCCTGCATGATTGGGACTTTAGCAACCACTCGCTGAAGATACCAGTTATGCATATTTTTTCTTAAAGACTAGTGATGTCCAGGAGGTCACCAACTTGCTCCAGGACTGTGTGACTGGAGCCCAACCTTTACCACATTTAGCAAAAAATATGAAAGTCAACAATGTACAGTGATTTCTCATAGTTTGAGTGATAGTTATGACAGGGCAGGTTGTGTTGTCTGCTAACACTGAAGTCAGATCAGATATTGTTTCTGTTTGTTTTTCTAGAGCAGATTTTTAACATTTTGATGACCAAGTCCTGCTTTAAGGAACCAGCACATAGCTAAAAGCTGTACAGGTAAAATCCACTTTAATATAGTATTTATGATTTGTTTGTTGGTGTTTTATGTTGGTTTAGCTGTTTTATATTTTTTAACCATTAGTGAGGTGGCTGTTGGATTCCTTGACACCAACTGTAGTCTGTTTTCAAAGTCCGTGTATGAAAACTCAAAAGATTTGAAATGGTCTCATTCTGCCCTGCTGTTTTATAGTATGATATGAACTGTAGATGACTACACTTTCTTTTCTCTCTGTTCCCCCACAAGCCAAATAAATTGCTGGCACCACTGGCACTCAGGCTGTATTTTGGAAGCACAGGAAAGTGAGTGTTTCTCATCTTCTGCGATAGATAGATTCAACTTTGAAAAGCTCACATAGTTATTAGGAGGAAGTATAGTATTTTGGTTAATTGATTTTCTTATTTGAAAACAATCAATTATAAACAATAAAAATCCAAAAAGCATTTACTACAATGTGAGACTAAGAAAAGCTGCACATTTTCACATTTATCTATCAAATCAGCCATCGCATGAATCATCTCTGCAGCTCCGATGTTGATCATAGTTAAGAAATTTAATTTAATTACTAGAAATATACAAAATGTTTGACATTTTGATGTTTAGCCACCATGACTTCCTCCATAAAAGGGTTGCTGGTACTCAAATGTCCTACTTCTGCATTTAGTTCTGAGACATTATAGACATGATTGGCACAACCCAAAGAGGTCATTTATCAGTAAAATATAAGCATATATAACATAATAAAACACACCATATTTATTTTTCCCAAGCAACATTTCCTCATATTTAATGTGGGTAAATTTAACAATATTCTATAAAAAGATTTCTTTGGAAGCACCCTTTGGCTTTGCTTGCTTTCTCTTTCTTATTGTCAAAAAAAACATTAGCTTATAGGTACCTATATATATATATATATACATTCCACTTTTTAAAGTTATTTCTCCTTTTCTTATTATGGTACTTCCCTTTTACATGATTTATCTAGAGTTACATGTAGTTGGCAGCTCTAACCAGAGTACAGATTTTTTTTCTTTTGACAGTACAGATGAGCTAGTAACTGCATGTTTAATGTTCTCTTATGTTCTGCTATCTGTTGTTACAGATGTCTTGCTGCTGCTTTTCATGCCTGATGCATTCTTAACACATGCAGAAGGGCAGAGAGGTCATTAGTGCTACATAAGATGATTAATTTATGCAGTTTTAGGCTATACTGCAAATAATTATATTCATATACATGGCGAAAAGACCTAATGAAAAAGTGACTGCATTTATATTATTGGCTGAGACTGTTTTCACATTCATGATGACACTGATAACTCTAGTATCACAAATTACTGTGTTAAGCTGTTTGCTTCATTAATATACTGGCCTACATATGCAGTTACATGATTACCTAATTTATTACATGTTGTGAAGGCGGTTCATAACAAGCCCATAAATTCTGGAGGTTGTCCTATATCCTGCTGAGGATGACTATTTCTTCATAGATAAGAATATTTGCTACCATGGAAAACCCCACTGTCAAGGGTGGAGGAAACAATAAGGGGATGTACTCCAGATTCAGTATCTGAGTTTATGAAGGAGTGTTAGTTTGCTGCATTTTGTTGAATTAACATCAGATCAAAGAACTGCACCTGATTCCCCTGATCTTTCTTATTTTATCTTTTCAATTTCCTGATGTTAAAGATGATATGTAGATGGATTTACAGGGAAACATTTTTTTCTTTGTCATCAATATTGCAAAATTGTCTCAAAAAAATTTAATAATAAAGCAGCCAAGTACAAATGGGTCTCGTGAATATTTCCTGTCTTCAGTAAACAGTTCCCAAACCAGGAGTATAATTAGATATGACTACAAATGTGTCATTGCCATTTCATTTGTACTTTGGATAGAACAGCACATTAAAGAGGGCAGCTTGTACATTTAGGATTTTTCTAACTGGCTGTTTGAGGTCAGCGGTTGTTGTTGAGTTTACTAGTAAGTGAATCCATGGTGTGAGAGTGGGATTGGACTGCCTTATCTGGGCTGTAAACCAGCTGAGCAGCTGGTTTAACCACAGTCCATGGCTCTGTGTGCGTATGTGTTGCACCTAAGTGTGTGTGTGTACGCACGCACGTGCTTGTATCTCTGCAGTGTGCGCATGTGTGCGTGTGCCTGTGGTAATTTTGTTCTTGGACATGTCTGGGCGTATTCTCAGTAAGTGCCGCACAGAGGCCTAAGGCAGTACAATGAGTGAGGTACACACAGACAGATGAGCTGTCATATAGTTTTTTAACATTCAGTACATGGAAATCTTATCCAAATCTAATCTAAGCCAAAAGAAAACACACTAAACACACCTTAGTAAAAGGAACCCCAAAAAAGTACACAAATACAAATCCTTCCATTTACTATGCAGTTTTCAGTCTTTAGCCACGTTTTATAATTTTGTGTGTGTTTCTTTAGTTTGTTGTCATGACTGTGTGTAAAACAACTTGACAGATTATTCGTTTTCTTTATTTATGTAACACTGTCCTTGTGATCAACACTGCAGTCGGGTTCAGTGTAATGTGATGAAATCTTTGTCATCTTGACACATTAACGTCAAAACTGGTCAGCTCACTGGCGGCTCAAAGTTACATCCAAGCATAAAACATGTAGGGACAAAATTAACAACCTTATGAAATACTAGAGAGAGAAATTTTGAAGTAGAGAAAAAAATCTGCCTTAAAATCTGAAAGACTGGGTTTCTATACTTACTTGGAGCCTTAAAAACAATGCTAGAGCTTTCACTAGTTTTCACTCCCTTGTCCAAATAAAATGATTTTACAGTCAATAACATTTGTAACCATGCAGCCACATTTCCTTTAGATACACCAGCCTTGTTTCGTCTCCCATTTATTCCCGATGATTGTCTCCCAGTCAAGATAAAGCATTTATAGGCAGATGAATGGGATAAACTGACACTGTGTACTGGCATTCATCCATCTGTTGGTGTATCTTGTGTGCATCACTGCACATGACCTGATCAAAACGTCAGTATTACAGCCAGTCCTTTTTAGTTTCTATTGTTGTCTGTCACATCTAATCTCTGTTTAGATCAACTGATCAAACCAAAGCCACAGACACACCAAACTTTCCAGTCTGCTCTTTGCTCTGCAAGGATGCACAACAATAAGCTGTCCAATTTGTGGACTCATTTATTAACATTTTTTATTTTCAATCTTAGTTTACTGGGAACAAAGTACTTTACAACACTGCATTTTCTTAGAGTCTGCAAGCTAAGAGGTTGAATGTGATGATTACTGAAACTGTTATTGGAATTGACAAATTAGTAACTTTGTTGAAATCAAAAGAACAGTTTCAAAGAAACACAGAAGACACCCTCTGACATGTGTAGAATTAGCAACCAGTGCCTGTTTATGCATATCTGTGACCTTATCCAACCTCAGCTTAAAAAAATGAACCTCCCATTTGTGAAACCAGTGAATTTGATTAATGATAGATTCAAATTGAAACTTTTACTCATAAGAGGTATATCTGTTTCAGACTAAACTTATTCAAGAAATCTCCACTGCCTTTTCCCCCCACACCAATAGTGTAAACTGCTGACAAACCATCATCACCACCAACTGACAACTATCACTGGATTACTTTTGTTCTTAAAAAAGTTCTCATGTTATACAGAGCTTAATTTAATTTGTATTTTCTAAATAAGTATCTGTGGTCATTTGTCCAATATAGATTTTATGTATGCATATTAAGTAGAAGTTGTGTTGAATCTAAAATTACATGTATCATGACTTCTTAATGTACCTAAACGTCAGTGTGCATGTGTCACAGCTGCTGTTGCCTCTGGTGATTTAAAGCTGTAGCTACGGAAATGACATGATGCCATTCTCATGCGTTTAGAATAGTACTGGTTGCACACAATTAGCACCTTGTAAAAACTTGAAGTGAAATAAGTAGCAGGCAGATGTTAGCTACACATCACTGAGCTAAATGACCTTTGAACTACTGAGGTGAAGTACCTTCAAACCATTTAGTGATCTGACCTTTTAAGCAGTTTTGTATGATCTCAACAGCTTTGAAGAACACTGAAGAGCAAATGAACACTATAGAATAAAGGGGCACTCAGGTGTGAGTTTTTCCAGGACTCCAGAGGAGATAGCTGAAAGATTTTTCAGGAAATAATGCTTTATACTGAGATTTCGAAAGTTTATGGATGCATATTTGTCTCAAACTAATCATATTAGCCTCACTTGCAGTTCACTGGTAATGGTAAAACTGTTGTGTGATTGTTTTGGCATGTCCAACGTCCCACCTCATTTTTATAGTTTTTATTAAATACTTTAAAAGTCAGCACAGGAGGTGGTGGTTTACATATATCTATAAGCACAGGTGGTGGTGATGACAAAAATAGCTAATAATAATAATAATGAAAATGATCGTCATAATCTATCTGTAAAATAATCTGTACAAAAACAAAAACAACACTTTATTTGTTTATTTTCACAAGTCAGTTCATGGTCCAGGAAAAGAATTGAGATAATCATGGCACTTGTAGCTCAATTGATCTAAGTGCCAATGCTGTAAAAAAAAAAAAAAAAGGTCTATATTTGGGAGCCAAAGTGTCCATCTAAAAGTGTGAGAACACGGTTTACATTTGAAGCTATCAACAATTGCACTCTATGTCCTAGCCAAGAGGAAGCAACACTCCCTGAATAACACTGATATTCACATTAACGTGTGCCACCTATCCATTTGAAGCTTTGTCATCATAAATATTTTAATAGATCAGGAAAGAGATACCCAATTTGTAGTAAACATCTCAGTTATTCTTTCCTTTCCAGTTATACTTGCCAGTCCAGTTAAAACAAACTGAAAAAGGAATGTGAACTGAATGAACTAAACCAAATGTACAGAATGTGAACATCTTTTATTGAAATGTGAACTGTGGCTCCTTAAAGTGTACCAACAAACACAACAGACAAGTTCCTCAGTTTGAGATGCTTTATTAGTGTATTGTCATCATTTCTTACAGCCAGGATTCACTTCTGCCTAAAATGAGAAGCACGCAGAGCTTTATAGGCAGCTAAAGATATACGCCCTCTCTCACCACTTTGTCTTTCTCTTTTTCACATGCACTCTTCCTTCTTTGGTCTTTGTCCCTCTTTTAAGTTTACACGGTTCCTTTTACAATACACAAACACACACACACACACACACACACACACACACACACACTGCAAATGTATTTTTTTTGTCTGCATTACCCATATGAACAAACTGAGCTCTTTTCCTGTCCACTCTTTTGTATGTACCATACTGATCGGCATATTGTGCGAGAAATTACACCTGAACCTGAATGTCCATGCCACATTAAACTCCTCAGTTCACCGATCAATCACCCACTTGCTTTAAAAAGTATCACTTCACTGAAGCATTTCCTAAACATGATACCTGAAAACTCCATGACTCTTAAGAAAAACTGCATTTTATTAAATTTTTTTATTTCATAGCAAAATTTCCTTGGTACTTCATACATTACAATCTTACATTCTGTGCCACCATTTTCAACATGGGGAAAAAGACACGGCTGTGAGAACCTGCTTCCTGCTCAGCACTCAAATATCACTGCCTCAATGTAACAGAGGTCAAACTAAACCAAGTCATGTTTTCATGTTTTTTTTCTATGTGTGTGTGTGTGCGTGTGTGTGTGTGCGTGTGTGTGTGTGTGTGTGTGTGTGCAGGGGTGTGGGGTCATATATTGACTATTAATTGACTATTAAAAGTGTTGATTTGTCAAAGCTTCTTTTAGATTATTGATTGGCCCATAAGAATAGTGTGTGCTTCTTTTTTAATAATTAACAGCCAAATGTATCAATTCCATAGGCTAGATAATTAGTTTATTAATTAATGGTAATGTTAGAGCAAAACAAGTACAGGGAAAAAGTAGGTGAGACAAGCATCCACATCAGGTCTTGAAATTCAAGATTGTAGGTACAAGACTACATGTAGTCTTCCCACTTCATGTTGTAGAATGGAAATGTTACATGTTACAAATCTTACACATGCAGAAAAAAAAATTCAGGCACCAATCTTTATATAGTTAAGGGAATAAACCGGTGTATATCAACATTTTCTAGGGTCAGGGTTTTCTAGGCATGACTCATTTTTCACGTAGTTTCTATCCACTCGTTTTAATGCCAATTCCTATGAATGCAAGAGTATGGATACATTTAAAAAGTAGAAAAGAGAGGAGTATATCTTTCTCTTAAAACACAGAAAAGAGGAGCTCTTTAGATCTGGGGTTTCTCCAAACAGAAGCGCAGTCATTACATTCCTACAAGGAGGCGCCTGTTAAGCTCTTTAACACCATCTAAAGAAGTTCCCTAACATTGCTGAAGTCATACCTATGACTCAGGACGGAAAATTTTTCAAAACCCTGCTCAAAACATGGGAATTTTAGGGTAAAAACCATTTTTTCCTGATGTAGTATATTTCAGGAGAAGTGGGGAAAAAACAGTTCCTATCATGTAAAATGTGTGCACATTTCTGATGAATGACATGTTCTCAGCAATAACGGCTTTTTAAAATTTTACTACGTGGTTGTAATGTGTGACAATAGCCATGAAGCCCACTCGCCCCATGAATGGCAGCCTGTTAATGGTTTTAAAACACTGTAGTGTTACTCAGCAGTGTCAGTCAACCAGACCAGTTAGTCCTTAAACTGTGGAACTTAATCGCTGGTGTAAAAAGATATTTCTGATTAAAAATAATAAATAAATATTTTTTTAAAAACAGTTTCTCCATCGATTACGAAATTTGATCTGAGATACATCTAAGTCACAACTACAGACAAACACAGTCTGAATCACAAATACCTCTTGAATTCCTTTTTTTGTTCATCCTTTCAACCTTTGAGCAAATAATTCCCTGAGGCATCTCCACAGTGCAATTTATTTTGCCAAGAACCAGCAGCTGCAAACCACAACACAGCACCACCTCTTCTGTAGCTGCCTGCAGTCACCAGCCTTTCCATCTCATGATGATGAGGTCATAACCACAAAGTGCCTCAGCAACATCTCAACTGGAACAAACCCAGAGAAAAATATTGTTAGGATGCAGGGCAAGACATGGAAAACATGGAAATGATGAAGTGTAGGAAAAGACATAAAGAAACTGTTAAAACATAAGGAGACGCTGCATTAAGCGGTCATCTGATATTATTAGGCATCATTAGTACTGTAGTTAGAAAAGCACACAATGCAACACAATCACAATACGTTTTCCAACATCAAAAATAAATGTTTTAGAATAAACCCTTATAAGTTAGCTACAGCACTTGTTGTAGTTGGCACCACGTGTGCATTCTCGTTATATGCAGCACAACCTGAGCTGCATTTGCTGAGTTCAATTACAATTACACATTTTCAGTTATGTTCATGCTCAACGTCTGATTATTTTCTAAAAGCCTTTGGAAATTTTCCTTTGAAGGATCAAATGTCTTAGTTAGACTTACAAATCCTAGGAGATGAGGGCATGTCTCCCTCTCAACTGATACCACACTGACAACATTTCTAAACTCATCAAAAATCAATCTATTTATAAAGCGCTACTAGATTTATTTACTACCACTTCACAACTGTTGTTGTGAAAAGAACTTCATCAAACAATTCACAGGACTGCTTAAATAGCAGCATCTTTTTTTATAACTCTGAGCTCTTTCTCGGGCTACTACACACTGCATTACTGATGAAGGTTGGTGCATAGTAATGTATGTATCAGGCTGACATTAAAATCAAATTCATATCAAAGCTGTAAGTGTCTCCAACATCTGAACGCAGAAGCCTACTCCCTTTTAACCAGAGTGGCGGCTGAATCATCTCTTCAATTTGCAGGAGGAATATTACTAACCAGTTTAAGTTTTACTTGCCATTTCATTTTGTTTTCTGGCCACATTTAATCATTAGAACTAGTTAGATTTATGTTGAATATTTTATGAGTATGTTTACTCCATATTCTTTAGTTAATCAGTGTATTTTGTTAAAAGGTGTAAATAAAACACGAAAGGAAGGTATCTCATTGTGTCAAGCACAAGAATCTTGGTCACAGCGATTGCTATTTTAGAAATGTTGCATTTATCTCACACGGAGTGTTTCAAATTCGAGCGATTAGAATTCGTCTCAGGCGAACGGTGTGCTTGTGTGTGCGTGTGATGATATTACACAAGAGTAATCCACATACAGCTCTGAACACAGTGGCAGACAGAGCACCTGCACCCTCAGGCTTTCTTCATGGGCTATTGACGCATAGCATCGCGAGGCCTCATAAGGTGACTTATCAGTGTTTGAGCCACATAAGGAAGTAGTAGTAGGAAGTAAGGGAGAGAACTGGAAGGTATCTGAATATCTGCCGCCGAGGAACCCAGGGCTGCTCCGTTTCTGATTCTGTTCAGTCTGCGCTTTATGACACATATCCTTTGGCAATATTCTGTAGACTGTTGTTTTAGCATATTAACCTACTATAATGCTAAAATTAATTTCAATTACAAAACTATAAAAAGATCTAATATACACCTATTCAAAATTTTTCACCCAAAAATATACTTGAAAGCAACGTCTCCTGCCCTGCATGCTAAAAATTGATTCCAAGCCCAGTGCAGTAAACTGTGACTGTATCTGAAACGTTGGGAGTGACGCTCTGCTCATATTTCCTTTTTAGATACTAGAACTGAACAGCATAAAGACATGCAAAGTTCTTTATCAGAAAGTATACAGCTACAGTTTAAAGTTTGTAGGTTTTTAATCTTTAGACATGTCTGTAGAGTTCACAAAAGTTTATGAAATGTATCATTTTATGAGCTATGTATAAAGCTAAATTATGCCACTGAAACGTAGGCTACCGCACAATTTGATCTCTAAAATGTTTCGGTTCTCAACTGTTCATATGTAGTCATTAGCAAAGTTAGGAGACTTAACTTTTTCAAACTTTAGGAAAAGTGAGCTTCTGTGCACTTAGAGTAGATAAGTACCGCCTTTGCAAACACAAACACAAGTGTAGACAAAAAAAACAACTGGACTGCAAATGTAGTGGATGTTATTTCTTTACTACAACCTAGTGTTTATAAATTCACAGAAACATCTGTGTCAAATTGTCCAACATCTCTGTAGCTTCCCACTTTGGCTCCACACACACACACACACACACACACACACACACACACACACACACACACACACACACACACACACACGGCAACGATCATCAAAACAAAGGAAAAATTGGGCTGTGATCATGACTAAAAATACAATGTAATTCACAATCCAGAGATGATTCTCCACTCTTATTAAACTTATTGGTGTATGTCGTTTCTTTTCCCTTCCTTTTTCCACAGACAAAGCCACAGCAATTAGGTTAGGTTTGGACATGAAAATAATTAAAAAGACACTCACTTTTCAAAGATATCCTCCCATCATCTATTCATTTTCTTGTTTACACCAGTTTGTCCAGACTACTAGGCATAATACGTTGGCAATCTGTTTATAGGTGAATATGTACCATGCTACAGTAGCTTGTGCGTGTGTGTATTCCACTAATAATTGGAACCTGGAGAAAAGTTTGGATAGCTACCTTTACCCTGACCATTTAATCTAACAGATTAGCTTGTTCATCCTTAATTTATCTGAGACTTCTCACAAGCCTTACCAGCTCTGAAGCAGGTGAGATCTAAGTTATTAGCCTAGACGTCTAAAGAGAAAAACTGTTGCATAAACTATTGGTTCAAAAGAACCTCAATATAGAGGAAACAGTCTGCACCATAAACTGTTGTAAGATGATAACAGTTTCAAGAAAAAGCTTGTGAACCCTTTGGAGTTCTGTAGTAACTACTCTTAAACTTGTACTTCTAGAGTTGCAGTTTTTTACTGAAGACAATAAGTAATTACTTCCAGTGCAGGGCTGAAAAAGTGAACGCTCACTGTGAGCTTCTAAGTCAAAGGCATTAACCAATTTTAAATTGGTGGTTATTTCTTCTGTTACACAATCTTATAACACCCCACTGAGCATACAAGTATAATCTCTGCCAAGAAATACAGTTAAATTATAGTCAGTAAAATATTACAGGCCTGACATTATTTACTTTCCATTGAATGTCACGCTCTAACTCTGGAGTTGTTAAAATAATAAGTACTTTTTCATAATTAAAAACAAAGTTTAATGCATGTGGGGTCAAGGTTAAAGTTTTTGAAACTTGTACTTGCTTAAACAGAATTTACCATATCAGATTTAGTTTTAAGGCTAATTATTAGGATGACGGTTGCTGTGCTAAGTCACAATGGACCCTGTCTGCACAGTCTAAACAGACTAAAACAAAGTGTTTCTGTGGCTCTGTCTGAAGAAAGAGCCTTACAGTTTTGGCTACACAACAGACAATAGGAACCCTAGCTTTGTGGATCGGTGGAAAAGATGGAAAAAGATGAAAGCTGTTAGCAGACATTTACGCTTAAGGCCTTTAGCAGATGAATTTTTTGGAAACCTTATGCTTAGTTGCAAGTGTTTTAACTGAGGATGAACCATATGTTTTCCGTTTGATTGAGGTTACTTTTTAACACAACATGCTGATCATTAAGACTCGTCCTTCATGTTTCCAGTCTCCAGTTCATTTATTATTTTTACTATTTTTGTTAATTTATGTCTTATTTCAGCAAGAAATACATGTTTTCTAATACAGATCCACTTGCAGCAAGGAATTTCTAAAATCACCTGGGGGTTTTTTTCACAAATAATGTAATAATTTGTATTTCCTGCTCGTCTCTGCACACTATGTTTAAAGAGCAGCTGCCACTAGCATTTTACACAACTATAAATGTTCTGCTCTTGGCTTTTATTTAAAATTAGTTTTGGGAGAAACGACACAGCTAAAATCCCCGGAAACTGAGCTCTCTTATGTAAGTTTGCACAATATAAAACAGACACAGTATACAAAGTGTACACAACCACATTATTAAGACAAATTTCTACAGTTGTCCCCTAACTGACAGGATCTCCTCCTGAGGATGAATGTCTTTAGCCATCTTAAAGTACCATAGGTGAACACTGTGATTAAAGACTTTGTAAGACGTGCAACAAGATAAATTACAGTCTTCCATTTATAACCCACCCTTTCTCCTCACACTGCACCTATTACAGGCCGGACGGCTAGAAATTTTTTTGCTTTGGTGATGCTGTTAATCATTCTGCTAAGAGCTAAGGAGATAAATTAGTCTGTTGCCCTTTTAAAGTGGAGGCCCACTTAGTTTCAGACTCGGTATTGCTGTGAAAGACATTTCAGCATGCAGCTCAAGCTGCATTTTTAGGGTTTGAGATTATTGTCAAAAGCATAGCTGCATAAGGTCGGATCTCAGGACACTGAGAAAAAACATAGTGTTTTATATCCGTTATATAAATACCCTTACTAATTTGTACAATAGCCCCAGAGCTCAAACTGCTCACACTCGCAGCACTTTAACCACAATCTGCTTCTCCTCAAAAGTAAACAACTTTTTGAAGAAAGCGGTATACAACGGGAGTGCCCGTTCACTCCAGTGATTCTTTTCTCTCAGGACAAAAACACAAGTTTGATGAATAATTTACTGAAGGTACAGGACTAGATTAACCAGTCTGATGGATGAGTGGGTGCTTTGTCTTCCCTGTTTGCTTTAGTGGATCTGCATTTAGCTCCTACCGAGTGCATTTATCAAAATAAAACTGAATGTGTTAAGATATTTAACATTATTGCATCTCTGTATGAATAAATAAATAAATATTAATCAGTTCATTTAATGGCATCATCGCTGTGCTTTCTAACTTTTAAATATGAAAGGTTTCGGTTTTGACAGATTGCCAAATGAATCATTAAGAAAATTAAGTTTAGTATTCATCTTGACACTTTTTTTTGATGCGATAACAACCAAAGGCACTCCTTTTAAATTAAGAATTTGTATCTTTAAATTGATGCCGTTTGTGTGTTTGTGACAGCAGATTGAATTTATCACGATATGCTGTGTGTTAGGCAGATTTAGTACCCAGTATGCAGAGTAAAGGTAAACTCATGAGACTGGGACTCAAGGAAATGCAAAACAAAACTAAGCTGGAGCTAGAAGTGCAATCTTGGAGTCAAAAGGGAAACCACAGAAGGAAGGCGCACAGAGCACGTAGGAGAACACGACAAGGAACTGAGGAAAACTGAAGGCTTAAAAACACACAAAGTATCTGAGGAGAGGACACGGCTGTGGAAAATGAGGCACAGGTGAAGAGAATTTAACTAACAAGACAAGAAACCACAAAACTGAAGATGAGGGACTGGCAAAATAAGGAAACAATGACACATTAGAACTCCTACACTGAGGGAAGGCTACGGAAAATAACAAGACACTATACCAAATTACCCAAAGCAGAATGCTAATAAAAAAAACATCACCTCAAATTTTGGCAACTATTGTCCATGATGTGAATATGTAAACATTGTGTTTCTATTCTGTGTCCTGTTCTGTTTGTATATGTGTGTTTTTGCTGCTGATACACCAAATTTCCTCTTGTGGGACAATTAAAGGATTATTCTATTCTATTCTATTCTATTCTATTCTGTTCTGTTCTGTTCTGTTCTGTTCTATTCTATTCTATTCAGGAAACTAGAACTCAAGCACAAAATCCAAACATAATTATAAGCACACTGGATATCATAGATAAGAAAAATCTTAACTGAAATAAGAGAACAATCTCAAAATACTGAGTCAATGACCCAGGAGCCATGACAGAATTTTCTTAGGATACAAGTTATTTTGCTTTTAAAGAACAATGTCAGTGCTCGATTAAGCCGAAATGCACTGAAGCTGTTCTTTATATTAAAAGCACTGCTGGAGCTTTAACCTCTTCAGACTTTGTGCTCTTTTCCATGCACCTTGTATGGAGCTGTAGCTCTCTCTCTTTCAAGGAAGATGAATTTTAGCAAAGCTTAAAGCTTTTTTTGTGTGTTTTTGTAAAGACAAAAAGAGCAGGAAATTTGTGCAGTTTTGTTGCATATGAAGACTAAGTTCCATTTACAGTGAGAACTGAAGTGCAACAGCTTTTCTCTGCCTATTAGTCATGATCTTGGAAGATAAAAAGAAATGTATCTGTACTAATTTAGTCTTTGCTTTTAAACCAAGATAGCCAAAGAGAAGTAAACTGCAAAGAATCCTGTGAAAGGAAGAGAAAAAAAATCACTGGCCCCAAAAACAGATCAAATACAAGATGAGAAGAGAAATCTAGGGACACATGCTCTAAATCCAGAAATGCAAAATAAAAAAAATGTGTCATGAGAGCTCCTGAGCGATTCCATTTCTGGGGCTGTTTTTTAAAAGAGCTGTTCCAGACAGACATGCGTAATTGTTCTAATTCTAACCTCATTAGGTTTTGATATATTTCATGAAAGAAAAGTAACATCCGTTGTATCTCTCAATATAGGGAGTGGTTTCCTTTAAGCACTTTCTAACTATCATGCTTACAGACAGATGTAGGGGGCAATTTTGGGGTTCAGTATTTTGCCCAAGGACACTTCAGCACTAACCTTCTCATTAGCATACAGTCCCATCTGCCTCCCAAGACACGGCCGACATTCACTGGTGGCCATAACTGGCTGCATACTGTCAATGTAAATGATAAGTTCTTTTTAGACTTTTTTTTTTTTTTGTTAAAGTCAGAAAGAGTCAGGGTCCAAAAACTGTAAACAAAAAACAAAAAACAAAAAACAAAATGATGCAAGGACATAATGTTGCAAAGAGGAGTCCACATAATTTTCCAATATGCAGCACCATCTGCAGTACTGCTATGGCAGCTAGGTGTTTACAGTGTAACAAATATACTGTGTTTTTTCTGTGAGGGCTGACACACTAAAGGAAGAAGGGATTTTCTTGCACTTTCAGATTTGGATTGAAGGTTGGGCAACTGAAGCTAACTGATGTTCACTTTTAATTTATTATGTGCAGCCTGTGAGTGTTAACACAAATTGCTTACTGGTTAAAGATCAAAGGTTATACCATGGGATTTCTCAGTTAAATCACTCTATTCATTATCGGTGGAAGGAGATGAAGCAGCTTGATGGATGAATGGATTTATTCTCTTATTGTCACTTTTGATAAATTGGAAACCTGCATCAGCGATAAGCAGGTTTCAGAGTACTTAGCACCAGATGTATGAATTGGCTGGAGATCAAAGGTGACAACAAGGAACTTGTGCAGTGGATAAGTTATCCTCCTGTCAGTCCTCTCTGGCAAATTGTTTTCCTTTTTTGTCCGTATCTCTCAATTTTACTTCCCAATAAATGTGTCTAATTTGGCTAAGAACACACACCATAGGCAGTTAATAAAGTAAGGTATATATATGCAAACACTGGAAAGCACATGAAGAAAAACTACTATTAATATTCAAACTAGAAATGAGGTAAGTTTTCAGAGCTCAGAGATGCCCATCGTCATAGAGCATGCAGCAAAACAAATCAACATTTTAAGTTGGCTTACTGATCCCTTGTGATCAAATGAAGCAAAAGCCGCCTACAACAGTGCAGAGAAACCACATAACATTTAACACAGCTCAAAGCTTTGAAAACAACAATCCTGTCAAAAAAAGCCTGTTTGCTTGGTTGATTTACAACACACACATGAGCACAGTCCTTGATGTTCACTTTTATTTTGTATTGATTGAAAACATAACAAAAAAACATAATTTCTATGATTTTATTTGCATTAAACTAGTCCTGGTTTTATTTCACAATATGTTTCTTCAGTGCTGAGAGTCAGTTACATTTTGTTTGAGCTAATAAGTATATTTTAATATCTACACAAAGGGCTAGTGAGATACTGCAATGACACTGTGCACTTGTGCATGGTGACTGTAAATGTCCTATTTCATAATTTTCTAGTTGAAACTACAAAAATAATGCAATTGCTTAATTACTGTATGTCTATGTGAGTCTTTAAGTACTCTGCTAATAGAGCAGGAGTGAGTGATTTATTTTCCACTGGACTTGCTTTCCGCTTACATTTTTACAGAAAAAGGAGTTCACTTGCTGACTCGAGAGATGGATGTGGAGATAAATGGCTCAGCCAGAGACCAGAACGAGAGAGTTGGGACATTTACCACAAATTGTGATATGGTCATGCACACACACACACATGCATGCAGCTGTCAAAACAAGTGAAGGAATAGAGGTTGTTTTGCACAAGAGGGAAAATCTATAACATCTGCTACTTTTTTGCTTATTGGGTGCATGTATACTTGCATTAGTCATTTTGTAGAGTCATAAAATCAGTTTATCACAATGTAGGGAGTCCGCTAACTATTAGTAAGGAAAAATAAGTCTCCTCTAGATGTAAATTAATTTCGGGGAGAAGGCTTGGTTTAAGGTAAGTAGTGGTTATGGTTGGGGCGAGTCTCAAGGAAGTGTGCCAGTGTCCTCTTAAGTGATGCAAACACAGCCATGTTTGCACATCTGTGCGTGTGGAAGAGTGAAGACTGGAAACCATCATACTACACTTGCTCTCACGCACTCACCCTGAAGAGAGTTGGCTAATTAAATTATGTGGCTGTCAGAATAAGGCTTTGCAGGTCTGCATTCAATTTTCACTTTTCATTTAAAAGAATTAAAAACACAATACTGACCAAACCCCAGGGACTGGTCTCTGTGTAGTGTACTTTATTCTAACTATTGTGACTAAAGCAACATTTCTAACTTAATGCTGATCTCACTACAACTGTGCAGTTGAATCAAATCTGTTAAAATAATGCAAATTATGTTAACAGAATGTAACATCATTTACAGGCTATTTCACATAAATATTCAGGGAAGACAATTATTGTACAGCTGCACCATGTCTGGCACCTGTTTTCCATTGTTAGACCTCCGATTAACAGTACAGTTAAACTTATGTTATACTATAACTTTGGACACAATAACAATGTTCCCCCAAATGCGACAGCCTAATTACTACTTGACGTAGCTGCAAAGCAATCTTGTTTATATTTCCTTCCTTGTCTTGTATTTCTGTCTTTATGATCCAAGGTGAGTGAAGTGAGCACAAGGCAGGGTCTCCATCCAACAGAAAGTTATCCAGCTATCATGGAATGGTTTGCAAAACTAAGGACATTTATCTCGTGGTCACAAAACTGGACTTCTCTCTAGATCTTTACCTTAATATGTAAAGTGCCCTTTATTCATTTTCAGATGTGATTATCTATTTTTCCATTTGTTTTTGACTGCAGTAACCGATTTAGCAGTTTTGCCAACAGTCTTTGTAAGAGACATGAGATTAAAATCTACAAGCAAGCCTTTTATACTTGATATGTTATGCTTGCAATCCTTCCAACAAACTGTCAGGAAAAAATGAGCTGCTATTGTCACACACTCCCCACTTAATCACACTTAAAATTACTGTGATAAAGGTGCAAACATGTTGTGGCTGGTGGGTCAAATCGCAGTAATCCAGCACAAATAATCACAGTTTTATAATCAGTTGTGTTTGTGGGAGTTCCAGAAAGACATTTTTTCCCTTTCTTTGACAAATAGGTTTACTTACATTTGGCACTACAAAGAAACGTGTTATACGATCTCAAATAAGTTTGTAGTTTTTCTTACTTGCTGCTCTTTTTTTTCCGATTCAACCTTCACCTTTTTTGGAAATATTCCTAAAATCATTACCAGTTTCATATTTATTCTGTTTATATGTCACAGAGACTGCCTCGGTTTCCAGATAGTCTCTATGAAAACGCACATTTAGATGTATTTTACACACATACTTTACAGTATGAGCTTCACCTCGTGAGAGTTGCATTTTTTTGTCCCTCCATCTGACACCTTGACGTTTACAATATTGACCATTAACACGCTGATGAATGAACCAAGTCCACTTTAGTTAATTAATCTGAGCTGCTGCAGTCCCACCACCAGTCCACCAGCAACGTAGAATTGACTAAAATACAGATGGAGTAACATCATTTCTTTAATGTTTCTCCATACATTTAATTTTTCATATTATACACAGTACTGGATGTGTTTTGTCCCTTTGCTTAGTGTGAAGAAAGCAGATTTATGTTGGTCGTACTATCATTTTTTTCAGCCAGTCTTGAAGAAGGCGCACAGGCTCCACACTGTATTTGCACTATTTTAAACTCTATGCAGGAGTTTGTTGAAATAGAATATCAGCAGGCACTAGAGATAAGGTTTGGTGTTGCTCAAAAGCACACACAGAAGGAATCACTGCATTGCCCTGCTGTAATCTGCATACAGAAACTGAGAGACATTGTTGGAGGACTTTTGATACCCTAAATGACTAATGAACTACAGCTTTTACTAATTTAGGCAAAATATAACAATATCACAGAGCTGGTGAGATGAAATGAAATTACTCCTAGCTCTAGTGCTCACATTGTCTGCAACTGCGAGCTGGAGATGAGCAGACTTCGACAAAATATGGTAATGTCAGGTAGGTGTATAAATCACTTTAACTTCGGGTCAGGGGTTTCCCATGTTTGATCTTGACTACACTCGCAACAATATAATCCATGTGTGTAATATGCACTGCCGACACACAGTAGGAATAGCGAAGGATTAAAATCAGATAAACATATTTGATATCTTCAACAAGGCACTAATCAGACTGCCAAGTACAGTAGTTTACAAATGTGTGCACTCCTACCAGATGAGCTTTGCTGGGGTGGTTTCCCCACCGCTTGTCAGGATGGGTGAATGTGGTGGAAACCAGTCTGATAGTCCTGCGGTGAAACTGTTTCTCAATCCTGCGTCTTAGACCTGCAAAATAAAAAAATCCCCACTTTAGCATATCACCTCAAAGAATTGAGTCCTGGAAACACGGCTTTCAAAACAAGCAGATATATTATCTAAAGAGTCTCAAACTGTAAGACAAAGGCATCAGTATGTTTCATTTTTAATGATGTTTAAATAAAAAACAAATGTCTTAATTTAGTTTTTTCATTTGTTTTTTCCAAGTTCTTAGGAATTCTGGAATCTCGGTGCCGCTAGGTTTTCTTCTAAAGTGTGCATTTGCTGTGACACATATGCTTTTTAATGTAAATACACCGAATATAATTGTCTGGACAAAAATTAGGTCAGTTTTGTCCTTAATCTAGCATCGGTAATATACCATAGCAACACTAAACCATCCAAGAAGCCAATATACCACCATTATGCACAATTATACAATCATACTAACAGAATTGTTATAAAAAATATCTAGTCTGTTACGTGTTTACAACGTGATTTATTTTGCAACATTTAAAATATTACTATAAAAATGTCTGTTAAAGCTTAAATAATATGTTGCCCAAATTCTTTGATGTTATCGTTTTGTAGGGTGCAATATGATATCACAGTCCTTTCAGCTGACTCATAAACGTCTCTGTATGAATGGTGCAAAGTTTATGCGGAGGTATACGCACACACACGGCACAGTTTTAATTCAGAAACACAGTTTCCGTACAGAAAGAGCCGCGTGCATTTGTCATGTGCAAAGCACCCATTATTTACATGCAAATTTCTCACGGAAAACTGAAATGACGCTGTCTTCATTGCTACGCGCAATTAAAATTTTCTGGAGTGACGCCAGGATGCCTTCACTGCTGGAATTTATCGTCTCTCACATTTTAACCACTGAAAGATGCCGGATGAGTACACATCGTTTCATAATTAGGTGAAGTATGCATGTTCCAATAACACTGTACATGGGTGATGGGTGCAGCTACTGATGACAGAGTACCGAAAAAAATATACATATAAAATCTTTCTAAAAAATAATTTCCAGAAAACCACGTACACTTGGATCCGACTACCTGACTTTCTCTGAAAATAGTACACAGGTTTTAGAGATATTCCAGTAACTCACACACCAAATCACACAAAGGTTTTTTTCATTTAAAACAAACAACAATCTCTAACCACTTAACCTTCCTACATGGGTCAGAGAGAAAGTGATAGGAACCCGGGTTTAACATTTTGTGCCAACAGTCTTCTGACTTAGTTTCTCACCATTCACATGTCAGTGCATTGTTTGACACATGAGACCATGTCTGAAAAGTCATCCCACACACAGCAGACAGATGCAAAAAGCCCTTTTTGTGTGGGTGTGTTTTAACTAAACATGAAGCCTGCTTATGTGTGAGAGACAAAGAGAAGGTGAAAGAAGCTCAGATGTGGGCGGTCAACTTTTAATATTCATATCTTCCCATCTTTCATTTATAAAGGAATTATTTAAAAACTTTGGAGCGCTAGTTATATCCTTTTGTATCCTGTTCCTCCTTTGTTTTGGCCTTACGTGTTGAAATTTTCAACAGTAGGACACAGTTTTCCCTCGAGAATTCATAGCAGAAATACTGCACTGAATCACTGATGAATTCTTTTTGTACTTAGAGATTTAAAATGACCAGTTGCAGAATACGCAGAACACTAGATGATGAGTGGTTGTTAGGATTTTTTTAATTTGTTTTTTTACACACACTCACACACACCAGAGCTCCTCTAGCTACACTGCAGCAGTACACCCCCAGCAAATCTGACTCCTTATTCTGAATTCACAGGACCACTGAGGTTTTTATTTGATGCTTTTGCAGAAAATCTGACCCAAAAAAGTTGGACTAAATCATATTTACAGGGATGAAACATCTGTGTTTTCAGTGCTGGAAGGCCATGACTGTAGAAACAAGCATACTATTATTTACAAAGCTAAGCTGTCTATTTACAGATGACAATTGACAAAACCTAAATGAATAAAATGTAATCTATGGGGTAATGGGATAGCAGAGAGGTTTGAGCAGGTAACCCATATGCTCAAAGGCTAATGCAGGGGCCTGGATTCAATTCTGCCCTGGACTATTTCTTGCGTTACATTCCTCTGCTCTCCTTCTCCCACTTTTTCCTGTCTGCCCTGTCCGAAATAAAGGCTAAATGCCCCAAAATAAAGCTTTAAATATCTAATCTGCATTATTAGTTTTCCTTTCAAGATCATCAGCTGAATCGCTGCTAATAGTGTTCTATATACATTTTAACACTGAGCCTGGTTCTGCCGGAGGTTTCTTCCTGTTAAAAGGGAGTTTTTCCTTCCCACGATCGCCAAAGTGCTTGCTCATAGGGGCTCATATGATTATTGGGTTTTTTCTCTGTATGTATTATTGTAGGGTCTAACTTACAATATAAAGTGCCTTGAGGCGACTGTTGTTGTGATTTGGTGCTAATTAAAAAAAAATGAAGTCAATAGAGGAATAAACTTTTTACAATGTGTGCTTTACTCATCACCAGCACACATTGTAAAAAATGTAACTCATGATGCAGAAAAAATATTCCATTACTTATTAGCTTACATACTGAGACCCCTTTCAGCCCTTCAAATCGTCCACACCCACAGCTTAAATAGTCCACATTTAACACTGAAAGTAACAGAAAAACAACACATTGTGGTTTAACGATATCAACTGCACCCAAGAGGACTCCTATCCAGCCCTCACATCAAATGTGAAGAGTTCTCATGCCCTCCTACTCTAACATGAGCAGATCATTTTTATATGCAGGCAAAGCAGTAGCTAAAGTTAGCACAACAGATTGGAACACTCAACAAATATAAAAACTTCAAATTTCCAAAAGGCTCTGAGCTTGACGAGTTCAGCTGCTCCACATTTGTATGCTATACCTCCACCAGTATCTCTTTAAAACAATAAACCAACTCCCATTGATCTGAAGCTGCAATTACAATAATAAACAGAGGTGAAAATAGTTATAACTACAAGATACCAGCTCATGAAAGTCTTTCCAAATATTATCTGATGCTTTATGGAATGAAAAATAAAGGATAGGATAAATAATCGACACATTAGCTGATTATAAACTTCTGAATTTTAAGTTTTAACTCCCCCACATCAAAAAGACACTTAGTCAACCATCAGTAAAAATGTTATTCAAGATAATGAACCATAATTGGTGCCATTCACTATGCAGCTAAATGAGTCACTAAGCACAATCTGCAGATCTGTACGATCAAAGTCTTTCACTGACCTTTCACAAACAAATTTTTGCAAGCATAACAGTAATGCTCATCTTGTCAAACCTGTTTTGGTGGATAATACCATCACGGAGATCTAACCCGGTCTCCAAGAAATTTGTGAACTCGACCAGAGTTGGCCGGAGGTGTTTTTTTGTCAACGGCACAAACACCTTCCACTATAGTGTAGAATGGTGGATCCAAAGCAGATATCAGTGAAATGCTGAGCAAATCGAATGTACATAATAACAACTATTTTAAGCCAAAAAGCAGAAAGGTGGGAATTCATCCTGATTTCACAGAAGTGAATGAGAGGCATCAGACATGATCCTTTTCATTGCTTTGCTTTGTAATCACAAGACTTACAGTAAACGTATCAACAATATTTCACTTTTAGCTCCCAGGTCAAATTTAAATATAATATTTTTGCTGTTAAAATAAGCCAGCCACAAGGGGACCTCAAGTCAGTGTATTCCTAGTATCGATCCCAAGCCTGGACAAATGGGGAGAGTTTTGTCAGGAAGGGCATCCAGGATCAAATCTTTGCCAAATCAAAGACCCCTAAAAAGAGTAGCTGAAAGAAGAAGATGAGAGCTCATTTTTGAACCAGTACAGGTCGAGTATTGTGAAAATATCTAATCAAATGCAGAAGGCCCTTCTAATATTTCACGACAGAAAGCTACCAGTGGTTTGTAATAATTTCTTGGTCCATAGTTGAGTCAGAGGTGAAATAAACATGTAGGCAAAATGAATAAATTTGAAAAAGGCCTCAGAGTTTCTCCTTAAATTTAATTAGCTTCATTAAAATGTTCAAAAGTGCAGTAGTTAGCATTATCTCATCATTCCTTTTTTTAGTTTGTCAAAGTAGCACTAACATTTATCGACTCTATCATTTAACATTTATCACACCGTTTGTTAATCCTTGTTTGTGTTTTTCCCCAGAGTGTTTTTTGTGATCTCTCTATGCCCTCCTTCTTCTCTCTTCTTTCCCCTTCACCCCCCAACAAGTTACAGCAGATGGCCGCCACTCCCTGAGCTTGGTTCTGCAAGAGGCCTCTTCCCGTTAAAAGAGCTCTTTTTTTCCCCATTGTGGGCAAGTGCTTGCGCATAGGGGAATCACCTGATTCCCTGGGATTCTCCTCAATCTTTAGGCTTGAGGTGACTATAATTGTGAATTTTGCACTAAATAAAACTAACTGAACTGAAATCTAATAATTAAAAAATATTTTTAAGACTGTGTTTTTAAAGTGTATCTAATACTAATGCTTCCTTTCCATGAAGAGAGAACTGCTGAATGATTCATGTTACCAGTGACCTCTGTCTTGACCAAAAATGCAGCACATCCTTTTTTTCTGGAAGTTTGACTTTTAAAATGACACACAGTGCATGATGGTACTTGGGTATAGCCATCAGCATCTGAAAAAATATGTAATGTCTGGTTTCACTTGCATTTAGAACTATTTACTCAGAAAACTGTTAGTTGTAGATGGTAACAAGCAGTGGCTGACTGCCTACTGGGACATTTCCCCGTAGCTCGAGGGTCATTTTGTCCCGCTGTGAACAGCGGTAATAAAACAAGCAGGAATGAGTCTCAGAACACACCGAGATAAACTCTGTGCTCTTGCCACAGTATCCACAGGACAAATACACCGATAAATACCTTCCAGTCAGTCCCATATATTTTCTATTTACTAATTGGAATAACATTCCTGGCATATGTACATAGTGGACAAATAAATTGCACCTCACTACTAAGGGTGTTGCTAACAAATGATTGTATTGTGAATAATCATTTTACCTCTAAATGAGTTACTGATAACTTTATAAACACACATAAAATCATAATTACTTCAGTAATGCTTCTATTGACCTACTTTCAAATAGTTATGGCAACTAACTTTTCTTGTTCACTCACGTGTTGAATTAAATGTTAATTAATTACCGACTGATTATTATTGTTTTGTTTTTCTCATTTTCTATAGATTCTGAAGCAATATAGCCAAACTGAATTTTTTTTGTGAGCATTACCCGCCTCAATTTTGTTTGTTTGGTTGTTTTTGTGCTAACAGAGTGGCCCGGGATTAAGTAGTTTTCAGCCTTAATTACTGCTTCAAGTACGTCTTTCCGCAGATGCACTTCTAGTATAAGATGAGAGGTTACAATGATATTTGTGCTGTTCTAAACAAAATACGCACTTAAGAGAACACATTGTTTTCAATAGTAAACCGATTCTGTGAGCAAACAGAGGCCTCCTGTAAAAATAGCATGTTGGCTGGTAAACAAAGTGGCTTCAAAAAGGAAGTGAGAGGTTTAATATCAGTGAGTGACTCAGGCAGCGGAGCACAGGGAAAATCCAGAATCAATATGTTTCAGTTCTCAGTATATGCTGTACTGTGGCATATTTACATTTATCTGAGGTTCCTATGCAGGTCACCGACTATGTTGACAATAGCAAAGTGGTTCCTAGAACTAAAGCCTTTCATGGCGATAACAGCACGCAATGATGAGCCACTGAGAATAAGCCAAAGTTGGGACTAATATTCAAGGGAATCTTTAACTTTCCACAACAAAACTTCAAAGAGCGCAGTGGTTCCAAACTTTCTGCTGCTAATGTTTTTGTTTGCACCTTAGCTCCCTACCTGCAGATTTGCTGCCAACATTATCTTCACGGAACTGTGGACTCAGAGAGCTGGTTTAGAGTTACAGAGGACTGAAGCCGAGAGTAGAAGTGATAGTGAATGCTGATCTATTTTTATAGCTCAATATATGGTACGTCAGCAAATGCCCTTTGATTCATATTACTGTAGAGAAATGATCAGTACGTCAGCTAGTAACTAATATAATGAATTCCTTAATAAAAATGATACTATGGTGATGGTAATGAACACTGAGGTAGTTACTGGTGGTTTGCATTTAGCTGTTAGTGATACACACATAAAACACTTATTTAACCTCCTAGGACCTGGTGTCCACGTATGTGGACATCCCATTTTGGATTGTCAAGACCAAAATACTAACTTTTGCTCTACAATGGTCTGATATCCACTCACGAGGACATTATACTGCCACTGCTCTATCAAAATTTTAAACAAATAACTTCATATGTGGATCTCATTTTTCTCAGAAACAAAAAACTGGTAATTCTTTGTTTTTACATTCATCGGGTCCCAATTTGCCCAAATATCAAAGAGAAATTAAAAGTGCATGCCATGGAAGAGTTCGGGTCTTAGGAGGTGAAGGAAAATAGAAGTGAAATAAGTATTGATTTTACTATGACAGCTATTTACTTTACCAGAATGAAGGTGCAGGTAATTGTTCCTACATTTATAGTGTTAGCTGAATAGGATGCAATTTGATTAAAAAAACAAACTCTGCAGTTCCTACATCATTGCTGGGTCCCAAGATTTCTTTTAGGTTTAATGGTCTGCACTTATAGACAAGTGAGTCATACAGGTGCCGTGTATCAGTTAGGACGGTGTAAGGGCTTTGAAATACTAAAAAACGTTGACACCCACTATTCAAATGATACAGATATCATAGTGCTACAACCGAATGAACCCAACGTAAACACAGCCGTAGTGAAAATGGTACTATGGTACTCTGACAAACAAAACTAGATCATGCTGCTATAATCAGTATCAGTACAGCCAGCCTGAAGTATACCACTGAAAACTTGAAACTGCAAGAGTGTCATGTAGATGTTTGTTATATTGTGAACAGGAGTTGAAATCCAGACATGAAAAGATAACTATCTGAGAGTGTCATTTGAATTTCAGTTTCAAGAGGCTGAACTTGCCCAAAGACACACCTATACAGATTACACAATAAAGGCTTGGAAACAGATAATATTGTATGTGAATTTTTTATATCCTTCATATAGTCATTTTTTAAAAACAAGTGGCAGTTGTGCAGACTACTTCATCAAAGTGAAAGAACATTTGACTTATTCATAATAACTGGCAAAGTCAATTTCAGCCAGCTGAAATTGGCAATAGCTGAATAGATATCATTGTTTAATATATCAACACAGGCCTTTGTCATAGTGTTTACCTCAGGATGTGAAGTGTTGATGCCTTAAGACTCAGCGATCTGCGGCATATTTTGGTCATAAAATGTTGATATAAAAATAAAAATCTTTATTTTATCACACACAAAACTTTCAAAGCCCTCACAAAGAGCATCTAAATAACGCAGCTCTAACAAGGTCTTCATATAAAATGCTGACAGCCAGCATCCTTGCATATTATAGGAAATACAATATCAAAAAAGTGTTGAAAATGCCATTTTCAAAATATTGTGTAAGTCTTGTGTTTTGTTGACACAGATACAATTTCCTCCTCATCAGCCTCATCAAATCCCTCCTCTTGCAACAAAATGTATATGAAAAGTAAAGGCAGAAATCTGAAATACGTTTCTAATTCAAAGGTATTTGCGAGATAGTCTTGCATGTGCAGTTAAGAGGACCTTGCCTCTGCAGGACCCAAATAGAACAAAAAGAAATAAAAAATCATAATAAAAACCACACATACACAACATGAAGTAACTTTAAAGAGCTATAAAAAAACACGAGTTTGATAGTTAAAAAAAAGAAAGACTCAACAACATGGTGGTGAAGCTAAAAACAAGCCTCTCTTAGTTCCTGAAAAGTTCTGGCAGATGTGAAGCCTTTGTTTGACGTCAGCATCTCTTAAGTAGATCTTACAGTAAGAGACCGAGTCTTTACATAAAGCGACTCTAGTGATTATCTAAAACAAAACATGAAATCTTCTCATGGCCCTCAAACAACGATAAACAGTCTCTGATTTGAATGTTTAAATGTCAGCTGGGCCAAATGATGAGCAGCGAGAAGAGGGAACAAACCCTTTCACACGTCCACGTGCATGCAAATATATACGTGCACTCTGCAGCCCACACACACAGGCCACTGTACACATTGAAACTGCTAATACTCACACATGCATTAATACTCACACAGAGTAAAGGATCAACTGACCTAAAAGATGTGTAAGTAAGCTGACCCCAGACCTCATGGACAGTCCTGCATGACAAAGAGACAAATTAAAATTAGTCAGGAAGTAATGTTGAACCACCAGATCCTGCTACAAGAGCTTCAATGGACCTTGGCATGGATTTACCAACTATTTGGAACTCTACTGGAGGGCTGAACATCATTTTTCCAACCTATTGCCTTATTTGATGTTTTTATGATGTTGTTTAGTCCAAAAATCTTACACAGTTGTTCAAATGAAGGCCAAACCATATGATTCAAATCTATTACTGAAACCATTCAGTGACCCCCTAGAGGCCTATGAGTTGGAGTGTAATGGGAAAGATCGCACCCATCAGAATAAAAATGCTTCGTCGTGGGATAAGATCCTGTCACTGTAAGGGTCAAGAGTTCAAGTTTACAAATCCTCAAGTCTAGAAATGTTTTCTTCAGGGCTAGTAGCTATTAGTTTAAACGTTATGGGGGCTTTGATAATTTCAGTTGATAGGGCTGTGCAATACAGCAGCTTTAAATCTGACTGTAGAGGGAATAATGTGGTTCGCAGCATTTTTGACACTATATCTATATATCTATCGATATATCGATAGATATGTAAGAATCTTCATTTGACACGTGTTACAGACTGATAATCCTTTAACAGCATTGAAAGTCTAATAAAAATATTATTTTGTTGCCAGGTGTACTGACACAAACATTAACAGTTTGTAATGTTAAGAACTGTGTTCAAATCCACTGATTTTAGTGTGTTTGTTGTATCCATTACTTTCTGCAGGCTTTTCTATTAAAATATTATTAATCCTTATCTGCAAAAAGCCAGAAGTAACACATGTTATCATTATATTTTCCTAAAATCATGTACTCTAGAAACTTATGGATGATAGCAAGTGCCACATATAAACACACACGGACAAAAACATGGGCACCCATACAGCTGTGCAAATTACTTTGTATTTACAACTAAGGCAGAAATTCACTTAACATAACATAAAAAAACTGTCGTATGTCCACATAGACCACAGTATAATTATTATTAGTATACTTACTTACTATACTGTACATGCAAACATATTGAGAAAGCTACAAAACCTGTTAAATTAACACAAACAAAGCTACTCTACAATCAGCCAACATACACATTCACAAATGCATATACACAGGAAGCCTACTATTGTCTGCTGTTGTTGCTGTTATGATTTTCATTTTTATGTTGACAGTTTGTAAAAAGTACACACACACACACTTGCAACAGCACATCAATGTCTTAGGTATAGCAGGAGTACTAATTTTACACAAGTTGTAATGTACGCACATGTAGTGCACATATAGACAGACATGATAATATGCGCACACCATATGTGCAGGCTAAAAATATAAACACTGAAAAAATCTGAAGCACATGCTTAGAGCATCACACAGTGGCATATTAACATAGATAACTGCCTTTATATGAAGGCACATGCATACTTAGAAACACATATAGATGTATGTGCTTCTAAGTATGTTGTACAACAAATATGCACAAATACTGCACGTAGCTTTACAATGGCACAAAACAAAAATGTGTGGATGCACTCACACACCCTTCAGTATTATATGTGCACTGAGCAATGAAAACAGACAAACATGCAGAAAATAGAAAAAAATACATACACACACACACACACACACACAGCTATGCACACACTATGTTGACATAAACAAAAACAACTACACATGCTGTCAGAAATAAAACTACATATTTGCCCAGTCACGGTGCAAATATGTAGTTTTATACAATATGTAGTTAGAAATAATTAGCACAGATTTTAAGTGCATTCAATTACAACAATTACTTCACACACAGATGCAAATGTATATTAATCTTGGCAAGGACAGATACTAAGAGACATAAAAAGACAAAAGAATTAGAGAAATTACTGTGTATACAAAACAAAACACACACACTGTATTTAAAAAGTCATAATAAATACCAGAGAGCTGGTGTACACTAATTCAAATACCCCAGTCCCATCCCCCACCCTCCACAAAAAAACAAAAAAAACAAACAAAAAAGAAAAGCAGCCACAAACGCACAAACAGTATAAACACAGATCTGCAGATATATTAACAAAGGAGGAGTGTACTGTGCACATACACGTAAATATTCACTGCTAATATATACGACCTCAGATATGCACTAATCGGTGTATGTCTACTGATCATGTGTGCACAGAGATCAATACATATGGTAGCTGTGCAAACAGACACACACACTCACACACACAACACATACACGGAACAAATTAGCGACTGATTAGTCAAACAGTTACTGATGGCAACAAAGTGATGCCACCCACGGACACTGAGCATGCAACACTGCTTGTCTGAAACCATAAACATGTTTATATTTACTTATTGTCTCATTTTAGACCAGAGAAACTTTTCATACAGACTCTGACATTTAATATCTTAAACTAACCACTGTGTGGGAGCACTATAAGAAAACTCCCTGCAGCAAACTCTGCAGCAAATGATTAAGGTTATAATTAAGATAAGAGATTAAAGTCAGCAAAAGGAACAACTAACTCACCAGCTGTCAGAAGTAATCAACAACCTGACAGTTGTCAAATATTTTTTTTCCATCTTAAAAACTACATCACAATACTGAAGGATACAATTTAACCACAAAAGGGTTATATGGAAAAGGTGGATATTTATGATAAATATAAAACAAATTTTCATAAAACGATTAAAATGTTTTTTTCTGCATTTGAGTAATCAGCACAGGCAAATATAACCAGCACAAGCAGTCAATTCAAACTTAAACTACTCTAGAGGGACAAAAAAATTCTGAATTGTTGTTCCAATGAAACTGCAGTTAACAACTGGGTCGCCAGTAAAATTAAATATGATCAAAATTGTATGTGCAGAACGTGCCATAAAACGGTCTCATTTTGAAACTACTTGTCTCAGTCATAAACCAGAAAGAAATAATCAGACATGGGTGACATGAGACGTGTAATAAAAAATATATTTAAAAATGGGGAAAAACACAAAGAGAAAGGTGAAAAATAGTGAGTCAAACTGACTCTGGCACGAGTCATAATTCTGCTGGATCATCACCAGCAGGATTTTTACTGATCTGATTGTCAACAGTCCAAAAAAAAAAAGAAGAAGCTAAACACAACTGACAATATTCAGCCTCCCTCATTTTCACTCTTTTTTTTCTTTTTCTCTTCTTTTTTTAAGCATGCATTTGTTGTTGCTGAAAAGGTTAAAAGATTTTTTTTTTGTTTCCAGTCGAAACTGAGTGGGCAGGCAGCGAACCGAACATTCACAAGGCAAATTTCCCCTGATGCTCTGGTAATATTATCACTCCAAAGCATCATAGTTTCAGAATGACTTATGGATTTATTTATAAGAAGAAAACAAGTGTGACACCAATTAACTCACAATCAGTCACAGGTTACGGCTCACATGTTAGTTTTGACCATTTTGAAACTGACATAGATATACTCGAAAAACATATTCGACATAAATAAAAGGTCACGTTAGTGTCTCAATATCTGCTTCACTTTCAATATGACCTATCGTTTTAGAGATACGAGTGTGGCAGTGCTCATATTGTATAATTTATATTGTTCAATTTGTTCATAACCAATGGTTTAAATGTCAAAACTGGAATTTAATAGCTACATAAACACTCGATAAAATACTGACTGTTTCAGCACATGAACCCTTTGTTTCCTAGTGACAGATGAAACATCCCTCAGTGGAGGCACACTTTCATAAATGTAGTTTGGACCTAACAAAAAAAAAGAACCGTTTGCCAACATTTAACACCACTCCACCCACAGTTCAAGAGTTTATATGTCACCTTTAAAGAATCATCGATCAAAGTAATCTCATTCTGATTCAGAGTTTCACTATTACTGGTCGTTTTATTTATTAAAAAACACAAACATGAAGCAAATAAACCACACGCTGTGCTCACGTCCAGATTTATATAATTACTTAGCATACTCTTGTACAACAACATTGACAATTTAACTTGCCTTTCACACTCAGGGACACGGAGTAGCATTCAGGGGCCTATGACAAAAAGAGCAGCCAGCCTTCGACTACAATTTTCTAGCGTCAGACTAAAACCGTGAACACACAGTCAAATCAGATTTGAGGTGGACAATTTTTCCCCAGACAACAGAGACCAAGTTTGCCTTCGTGCGATGTAAATAGCTATTGCTGGAGACGATCATCCCCCCGACCTATTTCACAAAAGACACCTGATAAACATGACATAATCCAGCATGACTACGTCGCCTAAAAATATAAAGGAGAGACAGACCAGCTTTACGCTGCATCATTTACTATCAAAATTAGTCAGAGAGCAAAAGAGAAGACGTTGAGGCTAAGCTTTGAAGCGATCAGGCGCGGTGTGTGTTTCAAAAACTCAAAAGGAAGCTGCGAGGATGAGACAACAGTCGCTGAAATCTGCTTTCCCTCTCTCTCTCTGTCGCAGATGTTTTGAAAGAGGGGAAAAGTATACGAGAAAAAAAATACAAAAAAGAAGCAGAAAGGGAGTTGTGACCAAAATAAAGAGCTTCCATAAATAAGAGCAATCTAATAATTTCTGCCTTTAAATAAACAAATTAAATTTAGCAAAAATGCATTTTTGCCTCTAGGAACTTTACTTCCCTACATTCGAGTGTCACTGATATTTTAGCCTGCCATGATACACAGAAAAAAAAGAGAAACAAAAACGAAAGTAAAAAAGACTGGTGACTTAACAATTTGAAACAGGTAAAATTATATTCAAAAGAAATGTGGGAAGCTTTTGATCTATCTATTAAAGAAAAAAAAAAGGTTTGTCATAAATTCTGCAACACATTTACTAGTCATACTTTACATTTCACTATGAAGCATTAGTTTCTAAAACGTGGGTTCAGTCTGAATCATGTCACCTTTAATGCCTCACCGATCAAAGTAGTTCTCTTTTTGATTCAGTTTCACTGCAGGCGGAGGAAAAGAGAAAAATCTACTTTTCACCCTTT